AATTATAAGTGATTAAATTTTGGCGTTCTGAAGGTGAGGGATCTGGTGCTGACGGAAGAAATTTCAGGATTAATGAATATTGTTTAGAGTGTTTGCACAAGGAAGGAGACAATATGTAAATATGGAGTACGTATATATTCATTTGTAGTCAGACATTGAGCATGGATTCAACTGTTACGATTTCACCCATCGCCGGGAAAAATCCTTAAAATCCTACGCTTTGCAAACTGCTTACAAAAACATGCCTTCCTTAATCAAGGTAGAAATGAAATAGACGTTTTGATTAAAGATGCGATATTATCGTCAGACACATAACCTTTCAAAATGGCAAAAGGGCACGTTCAATAAAAAAAACTTGCAAAGACATTATAAGTAGCTACATGAAACCCCAAAAGTAAAATGACAACTATTGTGGCGTTCCAAAAATGATGAAGGTGGTGCCGAGTGACGGACGTTTGGGATTAATTAGCACCGTTCGGTGTTTGCACAAAGAATGGGATGATATTTAAATATATATATAGAGAGAGTCTCAATTTATTTGTAGTCAGGCATTGCGCGTGAATGTAACTGTTACGACTTCTCCCAGCGATAGGACAAATTATGAAGATCCCACGCTTTGCGAACCGCTTACATAAACATGCCTTCCTTAAGCGAGGTAGAATTGAACAAGGCCTTTTGATTGAAGATGCGGACTGTATGAAACATATAACCTGTCAAAATGGCAAAAGGGCACGTTCAATCAAAAAACTCTGTAAACACTACTTTTAGGAGAACGTGCGCCTCGGATTGAAGTACTAGATCTCGAGGAATGTTGACCCGTGTCCTTAAAGCAATGCTACTAAGCATAATAGTGCTGACTGCCTGATTTACGTTGTGATTTTAGGAAAAGTATAAACAATGATAGCAATCTATGGGAAGAACGCACTTTAACAAAATCTTTTTTGTTAAAATATCCACAAAAGCATTAGAAAACCTTCAAAAGTCGTCTTGTGCCCTCTTATTCAGTTGAGAACCATATTAGGTTTCATAGGAAACCTTAATCCTCTCACTTCCAAGCAGACGGATTTCTGAAGTTTTTACCAACAATCGCTGGTTATAGGAACTATTTTGTTGCTTACGGTAAGAAGTAATAGAAATTCAAGTTATGGAAGGATAAAAAGCCCGATGTAGTCATTTAAGGGCTGCCTCGTCAGCCACCCGTTATCATGAATGCACAGACAAAGTCCCTGATATCTGATAAGTTTGTGTTTTATCTAGTGCGTGTTGCCACGAAACGATATTTTTCAAGAGTTCACTTAATAATTCAGAATCTATTGGGAATTGCCAACTGAAGCACTCACAAATTGTCTCGTCAGGCATTTTAACATCTAACCTAGCCAGCAGAATTCTCGTTTAAAAGAAGAATATCTCGGTCTTCGTTAAACGAAGGCTATGGTTGGATGGATGGTTATCTGAGCAGCCAAGTGAGCTCGTTCTTCCGATAAACTGCAGCTGATATTCTAAAGTTCCTCACTAAACTACATCAAGCCAGATTATCCCTTCGATGTTTGAATTGCTGTCCACCAGGAAAGTTTCGAGCTTTTAGGCTACACAAAGCAATTTTCTAAATAAAAAACGTGACTGATGCAAGCCGTTAGTCGCAAGTTCCGGACCTGGGAGTTTTTAACCCACTT